TTTTGAAGGGCCATTATTTCTTTGACAGGCCCGTGCTTTTGAAGTGGGGGGGGGGGGCAGCCTCCCATAAAATTGACAAGCAAACAAAGACCCCCCCCCCGAAAAAAATTAACTGCCTAAACTTGAGGGGAATCTTTTTCTAACTCTTCGGTAAAACTCTTTTTAAATGCAATGACTTGCCCGAGTTTAACCATACTGCAACAAAATGTTAAGGGACCAAGTAATCAATAAATGATTTTTTTTTTTATATTTAAACTATAGCAAGACTATTCTCCCAAAAAGTGGGGTGGGGGAGCCCCCCCCCCCCCCCCACTCGCATTCGAGTTATATCCAAAAATGGAAAGGCGTTATTTTAAAATAATAAATATATGAAAGACTGAACCAAAGACATCTTTATTTATGCAATATTTAGATTATAGTTTTAATATTATGAATTATATTATAAATCATAGTATATTCTATATTCCTGCACATTTCGCAGACAGCTGTTTGCATTTTGCAAGCATATTAAGAGAAGTCAACACTCTAGTTTTGAAATCCAGGATATAGGCAGAGCCAGCTTTGGGCTTTGATAGCCACGTATAAAAAAATCATGTCAAATTTGAAATATTTTTCTCTCCTCTTGGAAAAAAACAGGCAAACTATTTGCATAGGTATAATGAGCAATTAGCCTTCAACCAAATTTCTGAAATCCATGCACCTTGGTAGATGCGTCTGGCATCAGAGAAGGACTAAGTTGGTTTAACACTGGAAATATTTTACACATTTAAAAATCTTTTTTCCTGGAAATCTAATTATAATCAGCCCCACGGGTGGACTAAGTAAGTCATGTATTGAAAAAAGAGACGTAATAACGCCTTTTGGAAAGGCGTAATTACGCCTTTTGGAAAGGTGTAATAACGTCTTTTTTCGCGTTATAACGCCTTTTGGAAAGGCGTAATTACACCTTTATTTGCATTATTACGCCTTTTTCCGCATTATAACGCCTTTTCAAAAGGTGTTATTACGCCTTTTTTCGCGTTATAACGCCTTTTGAAAAGGCGTTATAAAGCCTCTTAAATTTTTTTACTGTAGTTTGATCCTAATAGGCTTTCGTACTGTGAGGATAAAGGTATAATTGAATAAATTCAAATGGTCAAAGGGATTATAAAACTGCATTTCTATTAAATGTACAGTAATTACACTGAGTAAATATGAGATTAAAATGTCGTAAAAGATATGCATTTGCCAATAGTTGAATAAGATACTAATAAATCAATAAGGATAAACTAAAAAAAAAAGAGGTGGCAAAAAAGCAAGAGTTCATCATTATAGTTGGGACATAGTATCAAAAGAGGGGGGGGGGGGGGGTGCAGCCTGTCCTAAAACATTCAGTTTTCAAAAATAATGTTGTACTATTAAGATGTATGAAAATGTACATTAAAACGCCGATTGACAACCCCCCCCCCCCTCCCCGGCTTTTTTGCTGCTGTATGGCCAAACCCACCCATGTTAATTTATCCAGAAGTTTTCTTGTGAGGTTAAGAAGTTTGAACGTAACCCCACCCCACCCCACCCCCAGCCCCGGAAATAGGATTTTCGAGTTCAGACAATATTTTTTTTTCTTTTTTTGCTTGATTTTAAGGTAAGTTATTAATATTATTTGGCCGCCACGCTCCCATGTATTATAAAGATGCCACATGATCAAGTTTGGACAAAGTACCGGTACGTAGCAAAAAAACAATCACGCATGAAATAAGAAATATATGTATATGATATCTCATTTAGTATGTGTCTGATGATCGTCAGACCTAAAGGCACGTGGAAATTCCTGCGAAATGGATTCATTTATTTAAACACTATAAATGTCGCTGAAATTCCTCTCATTTAAGTGCAACACCGACTGCTAAAATGTTCTGGGGATAATTCTTAATAAATTCATTCCGTGTTGACGAGTGATTCAAATTGAAGATTGGCTGTTAGTGACAGTGCTTTATATTTAGAAACTGCACTCGGAAAATAAAGATGTTATTTGTTTATTGCGTCGATAAATATTTCCTTATTGATAACATAATTATGTATTAAAGATATGAATACAACATCTCAAAAATATCGAATACTAGTATTCTCACTAAATTGTTTTTAGTATATCTCTTTTTTTCTTCTAATTATTTATAAGCGAGTTATAAATTTTTATAGAAAGGATTTTACAAGAAATACATTAATGGAGTGTGTAAGATATTTACACAATCGCTACGAGCGCCCAGTATTTATTAATGATAAATAAACTTAGACTACATAAAATATTTTGTTTTGAATATGCTACAGCTGTGTATTTTTTTAAACTTCACATTCAGCATATCGGCATCATGTTTGTAACAACGTCATGTGACAAACTCTGTGTTAATGAAATGAGCACCCGTAGAGTTAACGTCCTTTTGTAAGAGATAATTGGTAAATATACATTTTGAGTATAAATATATTATATTTGTCTTCTTCGTTTCATGATAAAACATTCGGTGCTATCATATTTATATTTCGGTGCTATCCTTTTATCTCTGATTTTCATAATTATACATGATTTATAATGTATTTGCAGCAAAAATTTGTCTTTTCTGTTGATCTCAAAATATGTATATCTGATTTGTAAATATTACTTTTTAAAACAAAAAATATTATGCTTTTCTTCTTCGGATTAAACATATGCCATTGAACCCCCAAAAGTATTTTGGACTATTGTTGAAGTACTTTAAAATGCTTCAGTATTTTTTACAGACGTTTGATACTTCACACCATTCTTTACTTGTTTATGTATGATTTTAACTACCACGTAAAACGTGTTTAAGGGAAAAAAATATCCACAGTACAGCGCTGTTGTGTCAGTTGAAAAGGAATACTGAAAATAATTGCCCGTAATTTTCTGCTATTTCCATGATAAATAATTCAACAGCTCAAAAAAGAAAATACAGTATATTAATCTCCAAGTATTAATAAATCTTCATGAAGACACAGAACATTCTTTTATTCTGTTTCTATGTACATGTAGTCCTCATTAAATTGCTTAGCAGTCAAATCGGCAACACGCGTACGCGCACATCTGTACATTATACATTTATTGACTGGGTTCGAGGGCAACATGCGTTTTGTCGGACCCAAGAACCAAACTGTTTGCCTGAGGCCTTTCGAGGGGTCGTCAAAACGCATTTTGCCCCAGAGCGCAGTCAATAAATGTTTTGTTTACCTTTTATTTATTTATTTATTTTATCACTATTTTTTTGACATACATGTATGTCGAACACCAACGAATGCAAATGAGATTTAGCTGACCCCGCCCATTATATGACGTAAGCGGTCCAACATCTCATCGACAGGTCCAATTTAATATCTCACTCCGCGGTCAAACATCGATTTTTTTATGCCCGTTCAGTAAAACATTAGAAATGTTAGACTTTTTTAAGCATTGACTTATATAGGAACAATTTTTTAAAGGTATAACAAAAACATTTTCATCCTAGTTTCTATTTCACTGTTTGCTTAACATTTCATCGGCGCTATTCCTGTCCATTTCTAAGAACGTTAATTAAGGTTTTTGCATTTTTCGCCATATCTTGCGCACTGCACACACAATTTTAAAGAACACTATTCCGAGAATTTAGTTTTCCTATTTGAGTGGATTCGTTGAAAACACAGCCAGGCTTTTTTTCGCGATTTTGATGTTTTCCTGGCACGTAAAATACCAAAATCGTGATAAAAAACCTGGAAAACGTCAGATAGTGCCTAGTGCACTACATGCACGTTCAGCCGCAGACTGTCTTACCTTGCGAATTATATTTTTCCCCTATTACAAGTACAGAGCTAGTTCAACACAAGTGTAGACAGTCCATGAATGCAATCCAGTCTTACTAATTGATACATGTACTGAGATGCGAAAATCAACTTCATCGATAGCTCTCTGCATGATGCAAAGGTGATAATAGGAAGACTTGTTCTTAGTTACATTTCCTGAAATATTGGTCTAGAAGAAGAAATAATAGTTTTTAATGGATATAAGTTATATAGAACGTACATATGTAAGTACATTGTAAATCAATATTACGCGAAATTTTCTACTAAATAACTCAATTCCAGTTTGAGATTTAAATACTTATTAGAATCCCATCTGAGTTTTAAAAATATGTACTTATTCAATCACTACATTGCATGTACATGACATATAATAAACCCTTTTTAATTAAGTATTTGCACCATAGATGCTGCAATTGTTAGCTATATGGTAGTGACGACACGATTTTAAATGAACTTACAGTATCTGGCCATAAGTGAGTAATAATTTTATTTTTCCACTCTATATTTCATTGAAAAATGCATTTTTCTAAAATATCATTGCAGTATAATTTGTTGCTCATTTTTTCGACTAAAATACCATAAAATGTAAAATGCTTTGCAGTTTCTTCACATAATTTCAAAATAATTTTTTCTGTAGGAATTGCGGTGATATCACCGGTCAATTTATGCAAATTAAAAACTTTACGACTCTAATTTGTTAAGAAATCATAGTAATATGAGGTAAGAATAAACTTTTCTCAATGATTAGTGTGTATCTATTTGTTAAGCATTAGAAGACAAGAAAATTTAAACAATTCTGCATGATTCAGTGAAAAAATCATGGAAATTGGGCTAAAATTGGCTTACAATAAGTTTTTATAAAAATGATTTTTCAATGAAATATATAGTGTAAAAATGCAATTATGTCTCACTTATGGCCATATACTGTACAATGTATAGAGAAAAGCATGACAAGAACCACCCTTATCTACTAACAGTGGATTTCCATACAATGTATATGCACATCTTAACTTAATTACTAATTGACTCCTATTATTAGAACAGCTCAGTATTATGTGGCATAGTAAAGACTGTTATAGATAAGTTTAACTTGATAAAGTCAACTTTTAATGTAACAATTACACTAAAATAACCGAAAAAGAGTCGTCGATTTCCATTTGCACTTTTTTTACAAGACTCAGTGGAGATATCTAACTTGCTTAGTGGCGCTGGATCGCGAACGTGCAGAGTACAGCAGCTGGGATGGGGTAGCTGGGCGTCAGCAAGGGCAGCAGCCAAGGACAGAGGCAGGTGGAGGCAGTATATGTACCACCTTATGAACCACTGGGCACGAGAAGGATATGTGAGGTGAGGTGACAATAAATTTAAGGTATAATTTATTTAAAACACATAAACTGAAGAATCGTATAGGCGGTCAAGCAGCTATTGCGATTACTACCATGTTATCGATTACTTTAAATGTTTTCTTTCTTGCTATCAATTTATTCCACAAGGTCAATTTTTTTTTATTTAACACCTCTTGTCTTATTATAGGTTCCAAATGCCGTCCATTACCGTATGCATCTTCCAGAGTTGTATGATTTTCTTTCATTTAAACTTTGTTGGGTATGTAGATAACAATTTCTGATTATATTGATCATTTTGGTGATACACTGTACATCAAATCTGCAATCAGCATAGTCGAAGAAAGAGTTGTTAAGGGTAATTTTTCTATCCTGAACTCAGCTGTGCAAAAGAGCCTTAGGCTTACATACGTACACAAAATGAGTTAGGAGTATGTGAAAATAAACCCACACAACTGAACTTGCATAGTGAACTAGGTCCAAAAAATAAACGTTAATTTAACGTTAATCAGTTAATATTAATTTCATGTTCATATGGATTTAATGTAAAATATTTAACGTTAAATTAAAGTTTTTAATGTTATATTAATGTAAGTCACAATCGGCTGTGTATTGGCAAAGCTCATACGTTTCAATTAACAAATATACTTTCTACAATGATGTAAATAAAAATCGGGAAATTAAATTCATCCGATCAGAATACCTTTTTCAGTTTAAAGTATTCAGTAAAGAAGAAGCCCATGACAATATTTGAACTAATTGGAATCACAACTACACGAGGATATTTTCATGTTAATATCACGTCATGGCTGTGCTGTTTTTGGGAAGACTTTAAAGGATCAGTGCACTTAAGCTATGAAAGTTGGGTCCTGGTGCTTTGCCAAAAATAATTTTCCGAAATTTATAAACTTTTTGAATCAGAATTATAAAACAATATCTTATGATCAGGGTTTGATATATTATATCACATGGAAATGATAAATAATGCCTAGCGACACTGGTTTTTGCGAGAGGGTCAAACAGTTTTGTCCCATTTCTATTGTTATTCATATGCATACAAGATTTCAACGACATTGTTTACATTGAGCCGCAACTTGTCCATTCGTCTCCTTTGCACAGAATATGTATTTTGATCTAAACTCATATATATCCAAAGGGCAATGTTGGATAATTTGCGCCTCATATGTAATTTTTTTTTTAAATTCTCCAAACTACGGTCGAGTTAGCTACTAAATTAACAGGTCACCGAGTATCAACATATTTTGACCCGTTTGATATTATAATCACTTTACTCACGTGACATTCCACTGTTCGATATGCTTTCACTGTGTCTGTCAATCGGCTTCAGGGCTGTACACACGGATATGTACAAAATCTTACTATGTTTAGACTTTTAATACAGTGAATCATAAGATTTTTCGAATCTTATAAAACTGTATTTAAGAATAGGGCAATGCTCTATTTCTTAATGCAAGTCTTAACTTACCTTTCATTTTTAAACCAATCAAAAGTACTCAAATTGGGGTCATCCTATTTTTAGCATAAAAGAAGAAGCACATGGTAAATAATGGTCGACTTTAGCAGTAAAAATATGTTTTATGGGAAGAAGATCAAAAGGAGTATCTACATGTGATTGTAAAAGTTGCTCAAATGCTGAATTATCTATATTCTAAAGAAGTTTTTATAACTTCTGGGATCTTCTCTTTGCACCTCATATACATGTAGCAATGCATTGTGTGCACCAAGTACATGTACAAACTTAGTGTTCGCCGTTGTTTCCATTATGATGGTCTTTTCAGTTTTAATGCAGTGCATAATAATAGCAGATACTGCTAACAGAACCTCCTTTTCCATTATTGAGAGAGAAAGAGAATTTTGCGAGGAAAACACGCAGAAATACCTTAAGTCTATTAATAATCTAATAAGACATGTATAAGCGTGTGTACAGGAAAGTATAATAATACAAATGTAATACTTGCATTATATTACACTCTCACCCGTGTGTACCGGCCTGAAAAACTCAAAATATTAAAGTATTTTGCGAGAATTTTGTTAGGGTCTTAAAGTTTACCTTGTCTTCTTTCACTAAATTGTTTTTTTTTTTTTTGTTTTTTTTTTTTTTTTGGTTTTGTTTTTTTTTTTTTTTGTTTTTTGTTTTTTTTTTTTGTTTTTTTTTTTGTTTTGTTTTTTTTGTTTTGTTTTGTTTTTTTTGTTTTTTTTTTTTTTTTTGTTTTTTTTTTTTTTTCTTGTTTGGTATTTTGAAGGAATTTCTGGTATTGCTAGTGCAAATCAAGTGCACGATTAGTAGGTAACTGTACTAGCTCATGTCGCCTTCCTATCATTCTCGGCAGGCCACTTGGAATTTTCATGTTAACCTAGCAACCCATCAGATCCTCATGAGCCATGATTTAAAAAAAAAAAAAAGAAAAAAAAACAACTTGAATCTATTCTGCCTAAAAATGTTTGTATATACCAATATCATTCATCATGGCCCTCCTGTTCAAGAAGAAAATATTTTTGTATACCCTATTATAGAAAACTTACCTACTATATACTTGTGCCCCCTCAATAAAAATGTCTGAAGACATTTTTGTCAAGGAATTTTGGTAGTTGAAAGTGCCCCCAACTGAAAATGTTTGGCTGTGCCCCCCCCCCCCCCCCACACACACACATTGCTTTCTACGGGCCTGCAACAGTTAGGTCTTCCTCACACCAAACTTTACTCTGTCCCTTTGAAACTTTTAAATAATCTACTTGAAAAGGTCAAGGAAAGTCCACTTTTTGATTCCTCGACACCAGAATATAGGCTCGGATCTGTGGTAATGGATATTGCCAATCATAGGCTTTTAAAACGCAAACACGACCTCTAAATCATCAGAGGTGGAATCAGGTGTCATGGAGAAGTGAGTATCCCCTACCGACCGGTCAAACCCGCCGTGAGCTCCTTGTCATGATATCACCTGCATAAAGGAGTCTATGTCTCCAAACTTACTGTACAGCAGGTTAAAATCGCGGTCGGAAAAGATCGCGATTTGTTCAACTTGCAACAAATCGCGGTCGTTTGAATTCGCGGAAAGGAAAAATTATACAAAAAAAACTTTTTCCGCACGTCAAATATTTTCCTTGCGTATTGTGTCGATTCTGTACCCGATTAAATCGAACAAAACATTGATCCCGATTAGAAGACAAACTGTTGTACGATTTACAGTGTAACGCATTCAGATAATTTTTCTTTCTTTCTTTCTGTTCATTAAATATTTTTGAAATACATATGAGTCTATACCCGAGTGATTTATTCAAGTAATTTCAAGTCGTATCCAAAACATTCATGTAAAAAAAAAAAAAAAAAAAAGCCCTTTGGCAGATGTTCGTTCATATGTATGTTTTGAGTAGAGTACGGAGTAGTATTTACTGCATGAAATCTCCCTGAATCTAAATAAGTTGTCAGTACCGGTAGTCAAAATGTTGAACTGTTAATAAAATTGAATTAATGTGTTGTGTTGTCTTTACTACGTAATGCCTTGATTAAAGATAATAGGACTGAGTGATACGCACGGGTGAAATCTAACATGTTTTATAATTACATCGCACCTCTACTGGGTGGCAGAATTAAATGTTAGTTATAGATGTTTATTTATCAATTAAGTTTAAAAAAAAAAAAACTACGTCTTAGTAATTGATCCGTACAACCGCATAATTAGGATGACAGTCTACATCTCCGCTACATGTATATTAATTACTGCTTTTAAGTTTGCAAGGAAAAACAAATAGAGTTAACGAATCTAATCAAAGATATCGGTAATATTTCGATTTATCCTTATCAATTTTTGAGGAATTATTCACTGTATGTTGAATTCGCGGAATTTTTATTTCCGCGAATATAGCGAATATTAACTCCGCGAGTTAATTTCCTGCTGTACAGTATTCGCAACTCAAAAACAGCCTCTGAGATTGTTTTTGTACTAAATTTGACATCAGAATGTTCCATCTGCCTGATCAATACATAGGGCTCACGGCGGGTGTGACCGATCACACTTCCTCCTATACACCTGATACCACCTCTGGAATTTCCAGAGGCCCGTGTTTATGCACTGTTTACAGAATTGTATTGTTTGTAGGTTTTATGAGATCGATCGCTCTTCGTCATCTTCACTTTTTAAATTATGTCACTCGTCAACTTTTGAGAAAAATTTAGTCAGAACCTCTATCTTCAAAATTATTTATTACAATTTAATATTGATCATACATTTAAATTAAACAATGCATATTATACAAAATTCAATTTGGAAAAAAAAGTTCAAAAAATCGCTAAGAAACAAGAAATAAGGAGGCTATTTCTTGTTTGGAAGAATATTTTGAAGAAAATTCTTCAAATCTATATACATATTTGTTTAATGAAACTTCTTAAAACGTTGATCCTACATATTTTTACTCAGATAATCTTTGTTGTTTTTATTTGCAACGAATATTGAATATAGGTAAATACATTTAGATCAGCTTTTGCCTAAAAACCAAGATATATTGAATGACACCCCCCCCCCCCCAAAAAAAATCTCAAAATTAACATTGACGGTCTCAATTTTTTTTTTATTATTCTAAACATCACGATACTTTCAACTGTTTAGCACGTAAGTCATACAATGATTTATAAAAGAAAATTTTAATACCCCAAATATGATATTTTTAGTGTCAAAAAATTAAAGGTTTAATTTCGAGGGTTGTCCGTAAAATCGTGTTTCGCGTTTTTCTAGTAAAATAAAAATAATGAGTACACTAAGCTTAAATTTTCAGCAAATGTTTATTTACCATATTTAAGTGCATCTTAATTATTTTGATAAAATATAGACAAAAATAAAGATTTTATTATGCTTGAATGTGCACAGAGTTTGTTCCTACGGCGCACGATCAAAAAACCAGGGTTTCATTGGAGAATACACGAGTACAAGTGTATTATTTCAAAATAAAAGTATGAAATAGAGAAGATTAGGGTAAAAATTATCCTATTTCTAATTAACTACATGTATCTATTGTGTCATTTTTTTTAATAATATTCCAAGGCATTTGCTTAATTTTTAGCAATTTCCCGAGCGTTCGAAATTGGAGAGTGGTAAACACAACACAACGAAAAATGTCGACGTTTGATGACGTTACGGCGCACCAGAGAGCAGTTCAGTTTGATTTAGATGCAGTAATGCATCTAAGAGACTTTAAATGTATACGGAAGAAAAAATATGAAAATATTACCAAATCCTTAATACACAAGAAAAATGGGAGTTTTCTTAGCAAAATCTTTTTTGATCGGGTTCCCGGGTAGAACAAAGAGCTACAGTAATATCAAGAGACGCTGTCACTGTAAACCATTGTTGTAAAATTGTCTATGTAGTTTAAGGATGGTGAGAATACTGTCCATAACTTACTAATAAATTTTCAGAAGGTTCCATGTGTGTGCGAGATTGGTTCCTCGACTGTTTATTGAGGAATAAAGGGAAACTAAAGTATGTGCATCGATAAAATTTCTAAATTCAAGTGGGACTCATCCAACTTTTTTTAAGCAAAGAGGATCGTGACGCTGCTTCAGACACTTTGACTTTATCATTCGTGCGGCGTAAGGCGATGCAACATAAAATCTCATAATTTGTTTATTTATGCATATATCTATTTGTAATTTGCTATGTATATTGATGAAAAAAATGTAATAAAGAGTAGTGAAAATTTTAGAACGCAATGATGTTTATTTTTCACTTTAGAAAACTTGTCCATGATTTACCGGACAACCCTCGTATTTACTAATAACTAAATGCCCTTTTCACCTCACCAAACTTATTAAACTAATTGTATCTCCCCTTTTCGACAAACCCTCTGTCTTTCCTGTTGTGCTAATCCAATTCTGTAAAACTTATTGTAGCAATTTAGTTGTGCCAACTTTCTGAATGCTCAATAAACATATCAATTTTTTTTTACATATTAAGTATATACATGTACATGAGGCCCAAGGGCCTTAATGGTCACCTGAGTACAACAAGTTAGAGGATCCATAGACTGATAATAAATGAAACTTTGTTGCCCAAAAGAAGAAAAATAGTATGATTAGGATCAACAAAAAAATTGGTCTAGTATCTATCTGTCCCCCATTTATCACTTTTATCATGAAACTATTAACAATTAAATATCTATTATTTAACCCCATTATTACCTCTCACATTCGCTTATCTTGGCCTTTGAAGAACATTTAAAAAGATAAGTTATTTTTGTCTCATTTTTATTCATCTATTATTTACAAGTCTACCAATCAATAAAACTATAAAAGTACTTTTTGTGTTATAAGATAAATGTTCCTGCATAATTCTCTTATTCTATTAACCTTTCAAATACATTATTTACATTGATCAAGAAGCAAAAATGAATAGCAAAGGGGAATAACTTCGCTCAGTAGAATACAAATAAATAGAGCCCTGGCCAGAACCAGAACACCTGACGTAATGGTCTAGATGTTCAAAATTCTGGTAAAAATACCCTTGCTTATTAAAACTTTTACTCTGTTCCCCTCCAAAATGCCCAGGAGCAGAGAAGATTTTCAAAGAAATAATGCATTTTTCCCCACAGATTTTATACAGCCCTACCCTAACACCAGAACCCAGGACCGGTCATAAAATTTAAAATGAGGTACCATCATCATCATAACTATGCAATTAGTTGAAGATTTTCAAAGAATTCACACATTTTACTGTATTATCAATAGACCCCCCCCCCCCCGAGAAACACAAATTTTGTAAAAGCGCCCTTGCTCATCAAAACTATACACTTGTTTCTTAACTTCATAACCAGGAGTAGAAAAAAATATTTTGTGAGAAATTCTGAGCTTTCACCATATAATCAATAGAGCCCCCTCCCCCTTCATCAGAACCATTGACCCTGGGTCAATGAATTTCAAAATTTTGAAAGAGGCATTCTTGCTTTTTTTTTTTTTTTTTTTTTTTTTTTTTTTTTTTTTACATTTTTTACTTTACATTCTTGCACTTCCTTTAATAAGTAAGAAGATTTTCAAAGAAATAATGCATTTTTACTATATAATCAATAGAGCCCCACCCTAATGCCAAAACTCCTCACCCAGGGGCCATGAAATTAACAATTCTGGAAGAGGCATTCATGCTCATCATAACTATGTTCTTAGATATTTTATTAAATACCCAGGGGCAGAGAAGAAGATTTTCAAATATGTAATGCATTTTCACTATATAATCAATAGAGCCCGCCTTAACACCAAATCCCTGACCCAGGGGCCATAAAATTCACAAAATGGGAAAAGGCAGCCTTGTTTAACATAACTATGTACATGGTAAGTTTATTTAATACCCAGGAGCAGAGAAGAAGATTTTCAAAGAAATAATGCATTTTCACAAAAAATCTATATAGCCTCGTCTTAGCACTAGAACCCCTGACCCTGGGGCCATGAATTTCACAATTTTGGTAGAGGACTCAATGCTTATTACAATCATGCCAACAGTCTGATTGCTTGATGTTCAGGAGTAAAGAAGAAGAGGGGGGCAGGGACCCTGAAATCCACCATTTTTGTTCCCCTTCACCCATAGATACTTTATGCAAAGATTGGTTGAAATTGGTTGAGCGATTGCAGAGAAGAAGCTGAAAATGTTCAACTGTAAACACACGACGCACGACGACGGACGAATACGGATAGCAATACCTAAAAATTTAATAAATACAGACAATAATGTAAGGATTTTAAAATCATTTGATTTATTTTCTGGACATTATCACTTTCATTAACGTACGAGGGGTGATCAAAAAGTTCGCGAACTAATTGAACTACTTCCTTAAAAGAAATAAAATGAGGTTTCAGTGTTCATTATTTTTTAAAGAAGTCCTCTCCGATTTTAATGCACATCTGTCATTGTTCTGCCCATGCGTGAATCACGTGATCCAGGCGGCCATGTGACATGCTCCGTAGCGGTCTTTTCACAGAGGCTAAGAGATTTTAACAGAGTCTTATATTTCTTACCATGCAAGTTATTTTTTATAATAAGAACAGACCATCTGTCAGAAATGGCCAAATCTCGGCAATAGGATGGGTGGATAAGGATATCCCATCCCAGAATTAGCATTGTGACCATCACAACCCGAGTCCTCTGTCTCGGGAGTGTCGTTTATCCAATGTGGAAAAAGTATGATCGTCTTCTTCTTTTTTTCCATATCTCATATCTCTAAAGTCTAAAGTAAACGACATTTTAGGGATTTAATAATTATATTATTGTTCAGATATTCAATTATTTTTCTAATTGTAACTTGGCTATCTTTCAAAACAAATTGCTTAACTAAGGACACATCCTTTTACTAGATTGCTTTCGCTGGGCAACAGAACAAACCTAATTTTTAACCATCTCCCTGCCTTCCCTTAAACAATCAATCCAATTAATGATTGAACTTCTGGTAAGTCTTTTGTCTTTATAAACCTTGTAAAACTATCATGTTCTACTGCAAAGAAATTTCCGAGATATACGTTAAACTTTACATCCCTTTGATGCTCAAGTACGACTAAGTCAACTATTTTTTGTGACAAGTCACCTATATACTGACGTCATTTTCACATTGTGACGTCACAAACAGGGAGCAAAACATTATATAATATCTGCTATTTATATAACATGTGTATGACTATATGTGTGCCAAATTTCATTCTGATCTGAATTGGTTTTTTAAAGATAGAGATAGTTCGCAAACTTTTGATCATCCCTCGTATTAACTATTAATCATTGTCTTCATTTTTTCAGTTCAAAAGACTTGCCAAGCGTTCGATGTGAACACCTTATTAATTTTGGTGTGAAAAACTGCGCAGGGTATGAAAACGCTACAGGAACTGTTAATGATAAATCCGTCCCGATGTACGACGTTTCTCCGACGCAACTTAATAACACTGGAAAAAGACAAAACAACAGTGATCTTCCTACCATAATGGAGCCAACTTTCTCAATTATTGGAATAGGCGTCGTAATCTTTGGTTTCGTTGCATTCGGAATTACCACTGTCATACTACACAAAAAGAATATACTTCCTAAACATTTTTATTTTCCTAGCAAAGATCGCAATGACCCTTTAACAAGAAATCCTCTCAATCGAACAGTTGAAATATTTGATGTTTAATTATTGTTGAACAGAGTCACAAAGAAAACATAAATCAAGAAATTGAAAAAGAAACCTTTAAAAGTTATGCAAATCCCGCATTTATTTACAGCGGGATGCAACTCGTACACGCAGAAAATTGAAAACTATTTGAAACATGGGATTGCTTTTCACATTTATACAGTTAAGGATTAATTATTCGTTACTTTTATCTAAATTGTTTCAAGTTGTTTTTTTTTTAGTTCGTACTGTGTATCCAAGCCGTGTTGTTTATATTGTTGGGTTTAGGTTTGTACATTGAGTCTTTGAACTCGTGTCACCTTAATGTTGTCTTGTACACATTCGTAAGATAATATAAATGAAAGCATTTTTATATACTATGCACAAATAATTCTTATATTGTGCAAAAATGATTGGTTTTATCTTTTTTGAAAGATGTACATGTAGCAACAATTGGTTTAAAGTATCGCAGTACAAAGTTTAAGCAAAACTTTATTTTGGACTTTACCTCAACTCTAATTTTATTTTGAATGTTAACTCCTGTAATATCTTTTTACAACAGTTAGGCTAATTGTTCAATAACAAGGAATACTTCTCGGACTTTATACCTACTAATTGTTATAGAGACCGAGTGCTATGTCTCAAGAACTGTTAATTTCATAAAACAACCATGTGTATGATTATCTGGGTTTTTTTTTTTGTCAAACCATCAGAGTCATACAGTATATTATTTTTTTTTTTTCAATACTTCTTTCATTCAGTTAAATAATTGTCAACACTGACATTTTTTTTTACTCATTCTGTAGATTCTTAAAATTTCTTTTTGTCTGTTTGATATACTTGTATATTTAAAACTTTTCAACTGAAAACATCAATTTCTTGCTTATATTTTAGAAAATAGGTACAATTTTTGTGTAGAATGTTTTGTTTTATGCAGATCTTATAATTGGAAAAGAGACTTTAACATCATGAACTGTAATTATATTGTTAGAACAAATTAATGTTGTTATTGGTACATTGAACTTTAATTTTGTAAACTCATTGGTAATTGAATTGATCAGAATAGACCAATCAAGCTCATCGACACTAAGTAATAAGATTTGAACAGAAATGTAAAGTTACTATTAAGATTCTTGATTAAGAGTAATAAAATTGGGAACTTTGAAGCAGATATTAAGTAAAAGAGCCTAGGGCTAGAACTCCTGTGGTGCAGAGATAGAGACTGAGTCCATAAATATTATTAATGAAGGTATACCTGGATTGGAGGGTGGTGCCATGTTGGGGTTCATAGGTCAACGGACAGATCTACGGACTAAGTTTAGGTGGCATGGCAAAATTAAGTCAGCCAATGAAAAGTATTTTTATATCCGGGACCAAGAATACCCTCTGAGCACAAAATACCCTGTTTTGCCGGAAAACTGCACTCTATTCTTTGACTCTTTTAGAATACTTTTTTGACTCTAATTTTTTTGGACCTCACCTTAATCCATTACTTTTGGAGTTTTAGTTCTACGCTCTACTTAAATCTTAGGGACGGATCTTAAAAACTTTTGTATAACCAGTGTATCGGTCTATTCTGATGAGATTTCAGAAAATAGCATTTAAAAATCTATACGATCACGGTAGTTTGATTAACTTTTCAAAAAACTTACAAATTTTGTTATTGGCTTACATGTATCAAATTATTGTCAAATACTGTTATAGAGTTATTTTTATACAACTTCTTACATTATTCACACTCAAGAATGTTTTATGATATTGCAAATTATTGTTTGCAGTATGCTGAATGAGCATTTAAGAAATATTTGTTATTTGAGATCTTTAATATAATTTATGATTTAGTATTGATTGCACTAACTGTTATCAAAAAACAAAGCTACAAATTTTATATTGTTTCCGCCAAACAAGAATAAAATGATTTGAAGGAGTGGTCGAAAACTGAAAGAAATGCACTTTTTTAAAGACGTAACTAATTCAGAGAATTTGTGTCCCCCGCACCCCCCCCCCCCGGATTTGTAGAATTATTAAATGTATACATGTATATTGAAGCAAATAAAAAAAAATGCCAGTATGGATATAAAGATTTGATTGCTTATTCTTTAATATGTGTATAGAAGATTCTTTTGATATCGAATATTTATCACACTGTAATAATGAGTTTATGAGTTTGTACAAGCCAGACGTCATAACTTTTTCATTTACATGCTGTAGTAAATCCCCCCCCCAAAAAATCCAAAAAAAGGATCGTCCGGGATTTGAACCCGGCACCTCTCACACGTTAAGCGAGAGTCATGCCCTTAGACCACGGAGGCACTTGATTATATAGCAAATTAAATGCAAACATTAGGTCACATATAATGTTTATATTCACGTTCGATATTGTCAAAATTTTACACAATACATGTCTAATTTAGCCTTTACAGAACAGTTCAAATAGATGTAATAAGAATATTAAGTCCGTCGACAACCTGTATTATACGTAATAACTCTCCACATGCCCCTGTGCAAAAAATAGTGCCAAGCGACTTTTGATACAATAAATAATAAAAAAAAGGGGGGCGGGACACTTTGAGAGGGTGAGAGAGGCCCTAGGGAGTTATGGTATAAAATTTCACTGCAAAAGCTCAAAAGCTTCTTGAGATATCGCCCGGAAACGAAAGTCTTACACACAGACGGAATGTATGAATTTACGACCTTGAACTTTGACCTTTTGATCTCAAAATCAATAAGGATCTTCTTTAGGCCACAGGGAATTGCTATGTAAAATGTCATTGCAAGAGCTCAAAGGATTCTCGAGATATCGCGCGGAAACGAGTGTTAAAACAGACAAAATTTATAAATTTATGACCTTGACCTTTGACCTTTTTACCTCAAAATCAATAGGGTTCTTTTTTAGGCTATAGGGAGTTGCTATGCAAAATTTCATTGTGAAAGCTCAAAGGGTTCTCGAGATATCACGGGAAACGAAGTGTTACAGACAGACAGAAATGCAGACGGATGGAAGGACAGACGGACGGACGGACGGACGGACAGACCCAAATTAATACCCCCACTTTCAGTGAAAGCGGGGGACAGAAGTGGGTTACATTATAGAGAATTTAATTGTTAGGCCATTATTTACACTCTGAATTGTCGACGAATTTCCCGTTATTTCCCGATCATGACAAGGAGCACACAGCGGGTGTGACCGGTCGGCAGGGGATGCTCACTCCTCCATGGCACATGATCCCACCTCTGAGGTTTTGGAGGTCCGTGTTTGTTCTGCTCCTATTTTGTATTGTTTAATGGACTTTTGAGCTTGAATTCGTTATATCCATATATTTCATTTTGTAGTATAAAACTGGAAATAACGTAAATTGAGCAATATAAAATAATGACAAACCATTTTACACATTGGTTCGCAGCTTTGTTAAGGCTGTCCGAAGACTTAATATGCATTAAAATATACATTTTATTTTGAGCTAGATTTTAATTTTAATTTGTAATCTATGTATGAATTTGCAGTCAACTTGTAATGAGAGTGTAATCAGGTACTATAATAATGCATTTTTTTGATGCACATGACACATGTCTTTGTTGATCACGTGACGGACACTTATAAATTCGTAAATGTTGCACAAAAATCGCATCGACACAAGTGCAAAACAACATTATTGAGAAAAAATTGTCACATAAGTCAATTCATCGTGACCTTTATAAAGTGCTGGGGGCAGGTCTGAATTTTACTTCTAGAGAAAATATTCCACGAATATTCAACTTACCCACTTACAAGGGGGCATTTTCCATTCTTTATCGCAATTTATACAAAATCGGATAAATTACATACAATTCCCCAGCAAAATTCAGTTAGAGGACATACTTCTTTAGTAGATTCACTGTAAATATTTTCAATTTTTCATTATTAATCACTTGTGCCAGTCAAATATATACACGATTTTTGAATTCTAACATGTCCACGGACGTGTAAGGGGGAGCATTTCAAGGTCAATTTTTTTGTTATTGTTTGAATATATGTATATTGGACAAGTTAAAGGAATAACGATATTAAATTGCTAATGTTCAGCATCATAACAGCACACTTAAACTTATAGAACAATCCAGACATTTAAATCAAACAATAACGCTAAAAAATCTTTACATGTCATGTGAAAGGAATGTAAAAGTTATGACACTTTCCCCGTCATGTCAGTTCAAGTATGCAGTGACTTGACGTCATATGCTTTTATGACGTCATATGTAGGTAGTTCAGAGAAGTAACTACAGTTGGAACAGTTTGATATTTTACGGACAGTCTTATCCTAGCCGCGTTTTTTCCCATATTTTAAAGCACGAGGGTTGTCCCAAAAGGTCGTAGACAGGGAATACAGTTTTCTGTTTCTATTTGCTAAATTTAATTTCTTTTCTTGTCATAGTAAAAACAACTGTTTACATTTAATGATCACAATTTCAAATTCCATGAGAATATCTCATTAAATAAGAAAATAATGTAAAAACAAAGAGAGCATAGAAGTGTACGTTGACACACAAAAGAAAGCGTAATTTACGTCTCTTATAACGTTTATGATTAGTTTTTAAACACTGCCCCGTGTACATAACACGTGGCTCTTTAGCACCTTACTGTCTGTGTTTTTTTCAAACTGGCAAACCACTCTTAAATAAATGATTAATTAAAATCGAGAAGTCGCCTTACGTTTACACATGTATGTAGGAAGCAGAATATACACTAGTTCCAGTGTGTAATGTCGTTTTCAGTCTCTGAAGTGGACAAACCACAATCCAAAAAAATTATTACATCCCATTGCGCCGAAAATGCAATTGACCACGTCATTTGCAGCAAACTCAATTATTGAATGGCACGTTAGACAATATACAATCATTCTGTCAATTATCAGAAAAACAAATGCAATTGTAGTAGTCACATATGTTAACTAAATAAATCCAGATTTTGACAGTGCACTGAAAGACTATGTACATGTAGGCCGTCCTATAAATCATCATTATAATATTGCAATGAAAGATATTTATTTAAGAATTCAATATTTTAAGGAATTAAATGAATTATAAATATATATATAAACAAAATGTGTTTAGTATTGGTTGAATGTTTATAAGTTATAAACGTTGTCTATGACTTTTTGGGACAACCCTCATACTTTTTTGGGGACACCGGTCATCTCGATATTAATAATACATACCGAAAGGTACAGTGTAGACGTACGAAATCTTGTACATGTGATCTTGACTCGTCCTTATTAGTATTTTTGTGAAATATTTCAAGGATTTATTTTAAGCTCACAATATTGGTTGAAAAAATTGAAAAGAAAATATTGCTTCAATGAAAAGGGTATTTAGAAATTGTGTATTTTAAAAGTGTAAAAAAAAAATACACAGAAAGACTGGAGTCGTTTTGCAATGCAAAAGTTTCACATGTAATCTAAAAAAAAACATATTTATTATATATCTTATTCAATGGCAAGGACTATTCTTTGTCAAAACTTTTAATTTAAGAGTGGTACTACATGCTTATACTGTTGTTTTATAGTATCTGAATTTTAAATTGTACTGACGATATTGTTTGTAGTATATTCATGTATCACTTTTTAGGACAAGAGTCCCATGGGCCTTATAGGTCTTTTGAGCATCATGTAACAACTTTCTAACAATTGAATTTGGTTCGTGTTTTAAACCGCCATGAAATTCACAATTTTGAAAGAGGTATCATTGCTAATCATAAATACACACTTAGCATGCTTAGTTTGATTACTAAATACCTAGAGGTAGAGCAGAAAAACAAAGAAAAAAAATGCATTTCCACTATATAATCAGTAGTGCCCCAGCCCACTGGACCCCTGTCCCTGGTGCCACACATTCCATAATTTTGAAAAAAGGCACCCTTTCTCATCATAAATTGATTA